TTCACAGAAGCCATCAGAAAACAGTAATAAAAGAGCACAACTGAGTGTGGGCTGAGAGTGGACTGCGCCGAGGCAAACTAATCTATCTTTACTCCGTATCTGCTGGCCTCAACACTCACTGTTTTTCTTCTCACTCACACTTTACAGACTCTCTCTCTCTCTCTCTCTCTCTCTCCCTTTTTTTTTTTCCCCTCTCTCCGACAATCACTCTTGTTTTTCTTACACCTCTCAGTGGCTTCGAGTTTTTTTCTTCCAGCTCCCTCGGTGAGATTGCCAAAAGGACAGCTCCACACGTATTATAAGATGCAAAAAAAAAAAAAAGAAAAATAAATAAAAAACCCTTCCTTATGAGCGCCTTCCGCTCTGACCTTCAGTGAGCCCCGAGCCAGACGACCAGGCAGCGAGACATGCTGCAGGGCTCTCCTCCAGGGACAGTTTCATAGAACAATTGCACATATAACCCCCCTAACCCACCTGATACCCTGGGAAATCCCTGAGTGACAATGACAAAGACTGATAGGTTGTGAATAATGAAAGCCCTCCAAGAGGAAGTGGCAGAACACAGGTCTCGGATGGATTCTGTTTGATTTGCACAAAAAAAACAAAACACACACACAGACAGACAGACAGTGTGTTAAAAGATGCAGTTGTGCTGGAGGTGTTTACCCTGCAAACAAGGTCAATCAGCTAAAGCCTCCTTCGATGTAAATAATCTCTTCAGATGTAGCTGGTAAATCTCAAAAAAAAAAATGGACTAAATGCGAAGCACAACACGAAAACTAATTTCATACCTCACAGATATTTGCCATTTCAGAATGGCAACAAATCTGTATCCCTGAATTAATCGCCATTGAGCCTTTTGTAACTGAGGCATGACAGCAAGACCTTCAAAGACTCAGGACTGTAAACATATTTTAGAAATCCATCTAGATAGTTCCCGGCTTCAAGCCCATGTGTGGTGCTGCATGCTAATGCAAGACAGATCTCCTCTTTGTTCTTGAAACCCACGGTGGGTATTTTTAAACCATGGAAATCATTTGCCAGCAGAGATAGTTTCATATTTCTATAAGCTATGGCGGGGCCAAGTGACACATGAATATTTTAAGCAGCTTTGTGCCTATTTAAATGTGTTTGCTGCGAACATGTTGGCAGTGGGCCAGGGCACAGGGTGTTATCCGTAATTCCTGCAATCCTAAACTAAACTCCAAGCGTGCTGATAATTCAGGCTGGCAGAAAGCAAAAGCAAATAAAGTCAATTAACCACAAACTCCCCTTGAATTTGTTTCCTCTACCCTTGCTCGTTCTCGACAACCTTGTAATTTTTTTTTTTTTTTTTTGCCACCACAACACAGCTGAGACGATGGAGCCTGGTAAATATTAGAAACGCAATAAAGGACCTATATCTTGGCATTGTGGAGGGAGTTAGATAAACTTCACCAGAGGGGATTGGGCCTTTTTTTTTTTTTTTGAGCCAACAGGGGGGAAAAAATTGCTTGATTTCCTTTCTGAAATGAAAAACAATGTTGTGCTTTAGTCATAAAATATTCCCACACATGTCGTGCATCGGGAAAATATAAACAAGAGCAGGAAATACAAACAAACAAAATGAGCATCTCTGAGTCAACAATGCTTTCAGCAGCAGTTGACAGCCCAGGGACATACTGCATCTGCCAATGCTGTTTGCAGATGGCGGCGATAATGTTATCACTCAACCTCACAGCCGCAGACCAACGACGGACGTCGGAATTAAAACGCTCCCAGCTTCATTCTCGACTTTCCTTCTGTTGGATTTGTCTTGCTTGCTTTTATGAATAAGACGAACCAAACTCGGCCGTCTTCTGATGGAAGGAGCAGATGTGATGACTCATTGCTTGTGAATGTTTGTTATGGGAGGAAGCAAAAAGAAGAAAATACGATCATGCACATAATGCTGTTTCCTGGGAAGGAATTAAACACACAGCTCCTTTAATTGTCAGCCAACCGGTTAGCAGGCACATGATGCACCACTCTTGAAGGCAGCCCTGGATTTCCACTCCAGTAGGTTCTAACTGGCCATCGGTGACAACTGAGGAAATTGAACTTTAGCAGCATTACTGTATTTAACTGTTTGTTGGAGCCGTCCCTGACATCACTGCCAGAATAGGGTTCTCTAAAAATCACACCAAAAGAATGTCAGCCATTGACGGTTGGGATTGGAGATGAATGCAATGCCAGGTGTGCTCACTGTCCTTCATTGTGCAGGTAGGAATGAAGAGAAAACCCCCCAAAAAATATTTAGTTCTGGGTCCATGACACCTTTATAGTTATCAGCAGTGACTAAGTATTATTCAGTGCTCTCAAAAGGCAGGAGAATCTTCTCTCAAGAGGTATTTTATTACAGCTTGTATGGGTTGCACTGGCTCCATTTCAGTATCTCACTAAATGAATTACCTGTAAGATTTATAAATGAGGAACATGGAACATAATAATTCAATTCCGTGTGGGAATTAACTCAGCATATTTGCCTGCAGCTGGTGGCCCAAACTCTTTCTTTTTTTTTCTCCCCTTTCCCTTCACTTTTTTCCCTTTTTTTCCTGACACTTGTCGCTCTGCACGGTGAGCTTGATGCCGTGAATACAAAAGGCTGAGTACGCTTTGGTGCTACAGTGTATGTGTGCGTGTAAAGGTCTCAGCCCTGACAGGAGAACAGTGGTTGTACAACGTTGAGCCGCCTGTCTGGCCAGAATGGAACTTGGGGCCGGGGAAGGAACAGACAGACCCAGGGGAGCTGACCTCCTCATTTAACCGGCCTCCTTGCACGAGCAGCTGGGATGCTGTGCTGAGTAAGCACATCCTGCAGGACAGGAGATGCTGGGGAGGAAAAAAAAGCACCAGTGGGGCTTTGGTGTCTCCCATGGCATGTCTCTTGCACTTATACTCCCTGACATATGGTGAAATCTCTCTCTCTCACACACACACACACACACACACACACACACACACACACTCCTATGTTTTAATATATCTGTCTCTTCTGGAGAGCAAACCCCACAGATAAGCACGTCATCTGTTCTAAAGAGAATGGATTACACTCCAAGAAATGGTGCCATCTTGCAGAGACGTGAAGTGGATGCTGCTGGCAAAAGATTAAAAAATAAAAAACAACAACAACAACACACAAACAGGGTTTCACAGAATGCACATCACTGCGTTACAAAACGGGACCACTGCGCTCTTTTTGCTCAGCAACAGGCTCTCGGGCTGCCCGGTGCCTGTCCGTGGTCCTGAACCGGCGGTCCGGTGTGGGGGAACCACGGACAGACACCACCGGCTTCCGGCTGCGTGTACAACCGAACCACTGCAACCAAGAAAGAAAAACAGAAAGAAAGAAAAAAAAAACCCGCATCCAGCATGAGCGTTACCTCAGAGCAAAAACACATCTCAGTGACATGAATCACCTCTTATCTCGCACGGCTATGTCCGTCTTACTACTGATGCCAGATGCCTCGCAGATGTGGCGCGTCAGCACACGCGACATATTGGACATGGCAAGGTACGGGCAACAGCTCCAACCATAGTTCATAAAGAAACACACACACACACACACACACACACACACACACACACACACACACACACACACAGAAACATAATATAAACACGCATAAAACCGTGGCCACATTACTGCCAAAGAGGCGCAAATGTCTCATCCATCATTGCGCAAAAATTGCCTCCAAAGAATTTCGCCGTGAATCGTCGACTTGGAAACTTTATCTGTGGGGGACTTTGCCACCACCACCCCCTGAGGGATTAGTCAATAGACGCCCGGCGTGTGTCAGACAATGTGTGAGACGGGAAATCGCTCGTCGGGGCTGAAGGATGCAGCAGGAAGACAAGCACATCTCGTTGCCATAGCGGCGGCTCCGGCGGACGCGGCCTGACTCTTAAACAGGACCCTCGGGGAAACTGAGGGGGGGTGAGTGGGGGGGATTGTAAGGATGTGTTGTCAACACTTGATGACATCCGCTGTCACTCCACGATGTCTGCAAATGCAACACCGCGAGAAAGCAATGCCATGCTCCTCAGACGGATCTAATTAACCGAGAGAAGAAGCCGCAAGAGGCCGTGATTTAGAGACTTTTTTTGGGAACAGGTGGTAATGGGACTGTTGTGAATTTATGACGCGCCTCCAAACGCTCTGTGGTGGCAACTGTTGAAGAACTACTTTTATAGTCAACATGGATTACAATCAGTCAAGCAGCGGGCAGTAGTTCTTGCGGCTAATCAACTTTTAGTCCATTGAGCTCCACTTAGGCAGGCAACTATCACTATGAGAGATGATTATGGGATGGTGCAGCACCAGTCAGCATTGAAAAGTGAAACTATCTGTTTGAAGAATACCAATTAGTAAAAGGATGGGGGGGACTCCCGATTGGATTGCACTTCAGTGGGATTAAGGATGAAAAGTAGTGCCGGGCGTATCGATTGTCCCTTTTCACAGATCAGTAATTGATCGGCACTGAGAGGGCAATGTTTACATGGAAGCATTTACAGCACAGGACACGTTGGGGAGTCAGCAGTTTATAAAAATACAAGGAGGGAGGGGGGGTGGCCACCGAGCTACAAGAAACTGGTGAGAAGATGCAAGCTGAACTGTTGCTTCCGTTTTGCATTTACGGTCAATTCACAGCAACGTGATTTAAGTTTCTTGGCTCCTCGGTGGTGAGATGAGCCCGTTAAACTCCACAAAGACCAGCGACGTGGACATGTTGTTAAGACGAGCTGCTAAATGTTCACCAGCGTGCGTGATTCCAGAGTGCAGACCAACTCTTAATGCGAAACGAGGCGAGAGTAGAGCCAAACATCTCCATGCATATTTTGCTCCCGCATCCCGTGAATGTCGCTTCACTTGTCTGCCAATCGCATCAGAAAGTGCAGCTAAACGTGATGATGATGGTGGCGGCGGCGGCAGCGGTGATGATGATGATGGTGGTGATAACATAAAAAAAGCAGATTCTTACCAAATCTTAAAACGTGTGGCATCCCGCGAGAGTAACCAAGAAACAGCAGCAGAAGCGGGATCAGCCTGAGGTTGGACCTGAAAACGAGACTGCTTATCATCAGATGATGGGAGGTAATCTTCATGTTGTTTCCACAAAAAAAATAAAAAAAAATAAAAATGCACAGTGGTTAATCCCCCCCTGGTGCGCGGGTTCGATTCCCGCACCCTCCGTAAATTTTCTATTACGGTTTGTTGGGCAAGGCAGGGTGACGGCGGCGGCCCTTGGACGAGCAAGATCACGGCATGGTCACTTTCCCAAAATCCATTAGCAGTCCCGGCATGGTTTCCTTGTTCCCCCCTTTTTCTTCCCCCGGTTCTCTCCTTCGCCTCCGTTCACTGCGCCAAGAAACAGCAATCCGCGGGGTCGAGGGACGGCGGGACTTCCATGTCGAAGGGTATACGGATCCAGCGGGTGAGGAGGGGGGGAGGGAGCCCGAGCATGGGCTGGTGAGGTGAGGTACGGAGAGAGTGGGGGGGATTTGTGGATAAGGGGCGAGAGAGCGCCGAGCAGAGGATACGGCAGCGATATGCAGCCCCCTATGAGGCGCTCTGGGTTGCTTGCGCTCCCATTATACTGCACTGCTGCACAGGCTCTGACGTCGAGCCAAGGTTAGTGCTGTGAACGCGCACCAGAGAGAGGAAGAGAGAGAGAGAGGGGAGAGAGGGAGAGCGCGAGAGAGGAGAGAGAGAGAGAGGAGAGAGGAGAGAGAGGGAGAGAGGGAGATAGAGATAGCCTACAGATAGACAGACAGAAAGACGTGCCAGAGAGGGAGGAGGAGGGGGGGAGGAGGATGGAGAGAGAGAGAGAGAGAGAGAGAGAGAGAGACTGAAAAATAACGAGCAAGGAGGAGTGGAAAACTTTATTTCATACCACCTTTCTAGGCAGTAGTTCCAATGTTTTCCTCCACTTAACCTGGCGTCCAGCTTGCATGCATTTGGAGATGTGGAGGTAAATATGCAAAAAAATTAAATTAAGTTAAATTTAAAAGGAGGAGGAGCAACTTTAGCATCACGAAATATTACAATTCTACATATAGGATGATGCCCAAAAGAAAGTTGCGCAATCGATCAGAACGCGACCACCTCTTGCAGCAGTTTCTCTGTTCAGCACCACGGACAGAGACACCAGAACCCAACAAACCTCCAACAAGCAGCACTGCTTCAGTCCGAGTGGCTTCCACGGCCAGCGGGTCTGCTGGATTCCGCACATACAGACATAATAAACGCATCGCACTGTGCGCAATAACTGGCCCAACCACACACACACACACACACACACACACACACACACACAAGGCGATGCAATCTCGTGCCAGCAGGATAGCTGTACACTGATGTTTTTTCTCTTCTCTCCACTCTTACACCCGAGTGGGCCCACTTGTGTGCTACGTTTTGTCATTCACAACTTGCCTCTCCAAACCAAACCTCCTTTTTTTTCTCTTCTTCTTCTTCTTTTTTTTTACGGGATTTAAAGCAACAACCTTTCAACAATTTCCACCATCATTCCAGAAATGTGGGAGGAGTGGGATGAAAGGAATTAAAATTGGCAGAACAGCAAATCCGTAATATCGACAGAAGCTGCTGAAAGGCACGAATATTTAACCTATGCAAATAACTCCACTTTAGACTTGAAAGCCTTCCAGCAACAGACTGTTCTCGAGAGTAAGCCATACTCCTCCTCCGATGCGAAGGTGTGTGTGTGTGTGTGCGCGCGCGTGTGTGTGTGGCGCGCACACAAAAGGCTGCTTAGATTTCACGGAGGGGGGGAAGACACGCAATATCTCCGGAGCCTATCACGTTTTCTATCTGATCAGCGGGCTCAACGCGGCCTGTATGATATGGTCTGCGTTGCACCGAGGAGATGGATATCTGCAGGTATTGCGCATAGGCTCCCCTTCTGCTATTGATTCAACACTACATGCACCTTATCAGCGTCCGCCCCCAACGAGCAGCTCTTCATGGCCCGGTGCATCAACTGGAGGTTATAGGTAGAGTTGCGCACCCGCGGGGCCCCGGGAGGCTGGAGGGCTATTTAATCCCTACGGAGATGTGAAAGGAGCTCTTTGATCGGCGCCATCAGAGTCCAAGCCTGGATGAACACAGTCATTGTGTGACTCAAGTGTGAATGGCTGGCCTGTGTGTGTGTGTGTGTGTGTGTGTGTGTGTGTGAGTGAGTGGTGAAGAAACACTCCAAAATAACTGTAAGATGACTTTGGCACACTTTTCTTTTTTTGTGCTCAGTAAGATGTTCATTACGCACCAGTTGTAGGCAAGTCTTCTTATTAGACTGCATAAATTCACAGGAAATCCTGAGTAAATGTGCGGATAAACAAAGCATCCTGACACCTACACTCGCTTTTTCTCCCCCCTGTTCAAGTGCTACTCTTCTGTACTTTACAGGCTCCATCAAATCCCCCCGAACAAATAAAAGCGTTTAATGGCGACGAGGGCGCTTGTATCAGCTAAAGGAAACACGCGGTAATTACATGGGATCAAGTAGGTGGTGTGAACGTTGACTTTGAACGTGTGTCGGCTTGCGTGGGTCTGCACACCAGCACTCTGCAGTGCGAGAATATCAAAGAGAATGGCACTCATCATGCTACCATCTGGACCATTAGCATAATTATGGAGGAATTCAGGGTTTCCGTATAAGTCAGCAGAGCTCCACACAGCATGAAAGGAATGCTTATTGAGCTCTGGGAGAAGACATCAACTGACAGGCGACTCAACTCAAAGCGCCCTCTGGCCTTTCACCGAGGCACTGCACGCGTAATCAGGCCCTCAGGTGCCTCCTCCCCCCACACACACACACCCCAAAATGTAATTTGCAAAATAGAATTAAAGCTGCGACAAATGATTCTGATTTAATTCTCTAACAGGAATCTAAACAGTATTGTACGCCGGAGCACGGGCCACTTCAGGACAAATCATCAGCGTTTACTCAACACTCAAAGTGCTCGGTGCATCTTTTGTGTGTCAATATCTTGATTACCAATCAGGAGTTAACAAATTCTTCACTTCCCAGTAAGGCAGTCGGGATGAGACAGCTGAAGAATGGAAAATTGCCTCATTATGATGCTAAAATGACTCCTGCTCCTTTAGCTTGTTGTGACTAATAGGAAAATACCCCGGTGCCATTTGGGAGATGTACTTTTTTTCCTTTTTTTCAACCATGATCAAACCGTGTCGTTTTTGAAGGAGACCACAAATTAGATGAGTTTATACACACCCACTCGCTTGTAACCTACGGAGGCTTCCATATGAGCTGGCTGGTGTGTTTATTCAAACACCATTCATGCAGTGGGTAATGCAAAGGGGACTTTATGCAAAGGAGAGATAACCACTGCTAAAAGCCTTCTGTCATTCCCTCTCTCCTCCATCCCTCGCTCTCTCGCACAGGCAGACTGGTAGAAAGATAGCATTGGCACAGAGGAGGAAACCATGGAAACGAGAAGCTGATGCACTTTGAATGGTAAGACCCTGAAAGAGAAGACATTCATTCAGTTCAGTTGCCCTGCACTAAAGGCTCATCTCTACTGCATTATTTTGAATGCCACAAGTTATTTTAACGCGTTTGGCTCCGGAAAGTCAACGATGGTCTCACTTCATCAGCTCATTATGTCAAGATGACTGTAGCCGAGGAGGTCTTAGCACTTTGGCGAGGCGACGACGGGCCCCCCGACAGAAACACAGACACTTTTTCTTCATTTGCACTCACACATGCAAAGTGTAAAAAGCAGCTCGCTTTTCCCTCAGCTACAGTATCACAGCGTTCGCCCCCCTGCAAATGCACCATAACGTACAAGCCAGCCTCCCTTCAGTCGGCAAATCGTTGCAGTTTTGAGTTCAATATATTTACATTTCCCACTTGTGGCAGCGCCTTTGAACACAGCATGGAGAAGTCAGCGCAGTCCTATATGTCTTGAGCAGTGCTGTCAATGAGATGCCTGGGACCTCGGTGGGAATACATTCTTCAGAGACGACAATTAGTCAAGTGAGACAGTAATTAGGACCTCTCTGCACACTGTCACTTCCAGTTAGTGCTGACGGATGCCCGCAAATACCCCCCTCCAGCAAATGCAGTCAGGCAGACTTTTACTTCTGGTGCTGCGCTTTGACTTCGTAATGTGACAGCCATCTGTAAATTCTATTTACCATGGTAACACTTTCAGTAATGGCATGGTAATTTGGTCAGTGCTATTCTAGTTGCAAACTACGGTGAATTTCTACCAGCTGATGTCATGTACGACGAAAAAACAGGACCAAAAAAAGATGTGTTGCTAAATTACTGTGATCGCATCAAGTTGCTTAATAATTAATGCAAATGATGAAGCGACTGTTGGACCGCCACGAAACTTAACAAGTCCCATCATTAGCATGGTAAAATAATACGTGCATACTTGATGGTACTTGTACAACTCAGTGTAAGTTTCTATTAATACCAAGTTTGTCCCCATCTGCCACCTTATCAGATACAGTACAGCTAAAAGTAATGCGGTCGACTACAGTCCTGCAATAAATCACACCCTCGTGAAGGTTACAGTGTTCAAACTATTTTCGAGAGGCGTTGATTCAACTTTATGGTCATTTAGTTTGCGATCCTATTGAAGTGGACAATATGAAGGTGATTTATTGCAAGGTTGCTGCATTAGAGTGCGTTACTGCTGGCTGGAGGTACCCAGGATCTCTCAGCTTAACATGGAAGTTATATAAAGATTAGAAATGAATGTTAACTGTGGAGTTCTGCACTGGTCAGTTAAATTCAGTTGGGCAACAAGGCCGAAGGCAAGGGTCATGCATGCCAGGTATTCATTGTGTGGCTGCAGTACCCGGTTGCACCACCAGGAGGAGTCGCTTATTGTTTAATGAGATGGAGTTACGGGTGTGTTTGCAGAAAATGAATCCTCCTCCCTGCTGTCTGTCTACAGCTGCTGTTCATCATGAACTCTGCAGCACCGAGTTTTGAAAAAGGTGTCTTGTGCTAACGCTAAGCTACGATTTTCAAATGCTAACACAGACGGAGAGCCGAGCAGAAAGCGGCTGTAACTGCCGCACATCATTGATTGTGTGCGTCGAACATCAT